TCACATTTTCAATACATGGTCGTGCAATTCTGTCTATGATCATCTATAATAGTAACCATAAAGATTCTGAGCAAATATTAGTCAAGAAGACCCATCGTAACCGCAAGCCTATGCTGAGCTTAATATTATGTTGAAGGCTCAATGTGCCGTATAATGCAAGCCCATCAAAATATTCTCCGCTGAACACTACTTATTGTATGTAGTTACCAACTGAAAGAAAGATTTGCTGCAGAATGCGATGAAAAAAATGAAGGAATGGTGATGAAGGTGATATGACAGCGAGAACAAGTGATGCCACTGAAATATCTTGGAAAAATGAAATGAGGAATTTAATCGAAAATTATAATCTTTTGAAAACTCCACAGTGATCTTATGAATATGGGCAGAACCGGTCTGGAGAGTTAACAGGAACATCCACTCTTTTCTCATTATTCTTTACAACTTCTGACCTCTACTGCAGAGTAGCACGCTCTGCTGAAAGAGAATTTGAGACGGATTTTCTGTTGTTCAGTAGATATGTACTCAATGAGAATCCGAGATAGTGATGGGAATTCGGAGGAAAGAGATGTGGTAGAGGGATGGAGAAGTGCGAGGTCGTGCCAGAGGAGGAGATTTCTCTTTTAATTTCTTCATTAGTAGTGTACTGTGTTGTGCCTCACTTTATTTTTAGACGTCATCAGCTGCTTCTGGCTTATTTGGGTATAAATGACCATGGTTTCGCATGCTTTAGAATAGCGATTCCTGAGAATGCGTAATGAAAACTGATGAAAACGTTCCTGAGAAATTCGATCAAAAACTAAATGCCTCCAAAATTTTCACTGCGATGTTGTGAATATTGCCAGAACAGGTTTGGAATGAAGGATTGTCACAGCTGAGCAAGTGAACAAGACACTCGCCATCGCAATGACTGACTAGCATCTTAAAGAACATTAAAGTCGAAGGGGGTGCTAATACTATGGGAGAGCTGTTTTTTCAAAACGAAATAGGGCGGTACCTCGCCCACCGTGTTGAAGGTAGCGAGGTCGTTACTACGTAGGTTTGAGGCCACGTCTTGTTTGAGTGATCACCTGGGTGGGGGTCGTATTGGGTCGCTAAGTACGGGGGGAGGTGGGTATTTGTTTTCGAGAAAAATGTTCTGGTTTCTGACTTCCCAGCTCTTTGTTCCAGGGGAGCTATATCAGGGCACATCATCGTTGGGGATTCCCCAACAAGGATGGGGTCGTGTTGGTCGCTGTGGGAAGAGGGGGAGTCGTTCTTGGTCTGAGAAAAATTTATTCGGTAGTTGATTTTTCTCATTTCACGGACGCTATAAGGCCGGGGAGGATTGTTTTTGCTCGTTGTTGGGAAAGAGGAAGTACTTGCCTCCTGAGAGAATATTGCGGCGTTGAGAAGATCTCCCTTGTTGACTTTTCATGTCTTGTTTCACATGTGGTCTATAGCCCTGTCCCTCGGTCAACAGCTCGATCGTATCAGTGGAGGGAGTCTAAGGTCGATGATACAATACCGCCCCTAATTTTTGGAAAAAAGGCGGATTAATCCGCCGCAGACCGCCGCAAAGCGCCCCAAAGCGCCGCACTGCCATAACTTCTTTCAAAAAGGGTTATGGGAGAAGCAAAAGATACATTTAGATTCGTCTCTGCGTGGCGAGTCTAACGGTGTATGACCCGTCGAATTTCGGTGAGTAGGTCATCAGCTTCTTCCTGAAAACCGGTCCGATTCCGCTATAGGCTATAACTCAGTTTGTGTGAACTTTTCTCATATAGAATCCTACACGGTTAGACTGAGCTCGTCGAGCTCTATAAGATAGCATTCTAAAAAACTGAAAAAGTCGAAAACTCAACACTGCTTTCTATCAAAGTACCCGAGGATACTCGTTAGCGAGGGAGTCGCGCTATAATTGTAACCAGGGGGCAATCGTTGGGAATTAAATCATTCAGGAATCGAATAATGTACTGTGTCGCGTAAGAAGCGATTAAAAGTTAGATAGTTGTTTTCCTAAACGATGCTGATCATTACGGTGTCAATTTTTCTGGAAATGGATGTGTCACTTCGTGCCGGTCATCTCTCGATGTCATTTCCGGACAATGTAGCCTTTTCAGTCCAAAAAATCTCGAGTACTGGTTCAGTTCGGACCACAAGAGCCCTGCGGGCCGAAAACATGGAGCCCTGTTTTCCACAAAGTTCGCTCATTCGAAAAATGAAGTAAAAAAAGAAGGGTTTTTAGCTAATTGAAATGATCACTTCGTGCAATTCTAGAACAAGTACTCAATTTCCAGCATTTTCAAGCACGACTTCTAGCCCTCTGAATGGCCCCATAAATTCCATAAAAAAGCTTCATGCAAAACGTCTTGTGCTCTCTAAGAACATGGTGGAACACAGTGATATATTCTAGAGTGGTTGGTGTTACCGGGTGCCAACTTCGAGACTTCATTTCAGAGCAAAATTTCCGTGTTTTCCATCGGAAGAAAATCCCAACCAAAGTTGCACCATTGGAATCCCCATGAAAAATGCTATCTATTCATATGAAAATCACCTCATGGAACTTTCTGCCACCTTTCGCAGTTTTCTCCGGCCATCTTCCTTGTCAGCGATCAATCGACCTCCTAAGTAGTTATGCCGTCGAGGTGTCAGGGCATTGTATTGATCAGTCTTAATAATTTCATCCACCAACATGGTCTCTTCTGTTCACTAAAGATTCGTGAGTACTGCCGTCCTAGAAAATGTTTCTCTTATTTCAAATTTGAATTTTCATCGGAATTTTCAAAAATTTCGTACTTCGAACTTCGCCCCAAATCCCTCCATCACTTATTGATATTTGTTTTCGTAGTTACTCTTAATGATCCACCAGATCATGGAGAGTTACTAAGAATAGTTTAGCTGAATTCTTGTACTTGAAGACAATCGAACGATTTCAAGATGTGCATTAATGCGACCTGTTTAAACAGTTTTGGATTTCCGGGAATCGCTAGTCTTGCGTTTACAAGTTATCTTGGGTACCTACCATTTTCATACCACACCCAGAATTTTTTCATTTTCATACTGCACAATGTATTGTAATAGTTGCTCTCCATCGTTATCGTTTGCACGAAGGTCTCCAGCCGATCGCATCTGTCGACCTCGGCGGTACCTGCATTTATATCCTTAGGACCTTTTCGCACATAATCAACTGATGACGAGCCGAATGTGCTTGTGATTTTACAACCTGTTCGTGTGGACTGGGTCCCAATAGGCTCAAATAAACTATTCTACAAAATGTTTGCCATGATTCTATTCAAAGTTCATTGTAATAGTTGAGGATTTTTCAGCTGTTCAGGGTTAGAGCCTTACAGAAGATTTTATTGCTTAAAGCAGTAAGTCATAGAGAAATCTGGCGCATCCTTCATTCCATTGTGCAAGCTTTAACAGGAACACGAACATTAATTAATTAGTGATGGAAGAGTTTGTAATTCGAAGTACGAAATTTTTGAAATTCCGATGAAAATTCAAATTTGAAATAAGAGAAACATTTTCTAGGACGGCAGTACTCACGAATCTTTAGTGAACAGAAGAGACCATGTTGGTGGATGAAATTATTAAGACTGATCAATACAATGCCCTGACACCTCGACGGATAACTACTTAGGAGGTCGATTGATCGCTGACAAGGAAGATGGCCGGAGAAAACTGCGAAAGGTTGGTAGAAAGTTCCATGAGGTGATTTTCATATGAATAGATAGCATTTTTCATGGGGATTCCAATGGTGCAACTTTGGTTGGGATTTTCTTCCGATGGAAAACACGGAAATTTCACTCTGAAATAAAGTCTCGAAGTTGGCACCCGGTAACACCAACCACTCTAGAATATACCACTGTTGTTCCACCATGTTCTTAGAGAGCACAAGACGTTTTGCATGAAGCTTTTTTATGGAATTTATGGGGCCATTCAGAGGGCTAGAAATCCTGCTTGAAAATGCTGGAAATTGAGTACTTGTTCTAGAATTGCACGAAGTGATCATTTCAATTAGCTAAAAACCCTTCTTTTTTACTTCATTTTTCAAATCCGCGAACTTTGTGGAAAACAGGGCTCCATGTTTTCGGCCCGCAGGGCTCTTGTGGTCCGAACTGAACCAGTGCTCGAGATTTTTTGGACTGAAAAGGCTACATTGTCCGGAAATGACATCGAGCGAAACCCATCCATTTCCAGAAAAATTGGCACCGTAATGATCAGCATCGTTTAGGAAAACAACTATCTAACTTTTAATCACTTCTTACGCGACACAGTACATTATTCGATTCCTGAATGATTTAATTCCCAACGATTGCCCCCTGGTTACAATTATAGCGAGACTCGCTCGCTAACGAGTATCCTCGGGTACTTCGATAGGGAGCAGTGATAAATTTTCGACTTTTCCAGTTTTTTAGAATGCTATCTTATAGAGCTCGACGAGCTCAGTCTAACCGTGTAGGTTCTATATGAGAAAAGTTCACACAAACTGAGTTATAGCCTATAGCGGAATCGGACCGGTTTTCAGGAAGAAGCTGATGACCTACTCACCGAAATTCGACGGGTCATACACCGTTAGACTCGCCACGCAGAGACGAATCTAAATGTATCTTTTGCTTCTCCCATAACCCTTTTTGAAAGAAGTTATGGCAGTGCGGCGCTTTGGGGCGCTTTGCGGCGGTCTGCGGCGGATTAATCCGCCTTTTTTCCAAAAATTAGGGGCGGTATTGTAGTAGAAAATTAAACTTGAAGTTCAACGTGGGATTCAGATGCAAATTCGGTGCAAGTTCAATTTAAACCGTGAAAATAGGGAACAAGAGCACTTTATGGTTAGGGCGGTTCAAAGGTCCCCCGAGTAGGACCATACGGAATAAGCCACTTTTCATGGGTTGTGCTGAGTCATGTTCTTACGTCTTGGAACGAAGTAAGATGTGGTTCACCGTACAGAAGGGCTCTTCTGCATGCATTCCGAATGTTCTTTGCAAAAATGCAGAGTAAATACTGACGCGAACATCATCATGGAAGGAATTGTGTACTTCAGTGATTTGATTCGCACTCAATTCCAGGGATTCATGTCGAAAATGCTGCTTATTGATCCAGACTGGCAGCACAAAGATAAGGAGTTGCCCTCGAGATTTGTGGTGAAGGTTAGTTCAAATGAACGTTTCCTCGAAGGTTTGGTGCACGATAGTGAAACGATGCAACTGAAGGGGAGACGATTGGGGCTTCTAAATTTTTTCCTGCTTAGCTTCGTTGAAAGGACCACTTCAGTACTACTCGGATGAGGCAATACTGTATCATTTATCTCCTGTTGGTCGATTCTGATATGGCGGCCTTCTTGTATTGTGGGATCAAGCGTTGTCGCGCACAACATTCAGTGGTGAAAAGGCCACGAGTGAGTCCAGTGAAACCCTTTTGAAACCGCATCGAATGACTGCGACCATATCAACACTGTATCTATGTTGGTGTGAACCCAATTGCCCCCCCCCCGATTCGTTTTGCCACTGTTACCGGAATGAGTGATGATAGACTTCTCGGTCATACCGAAATATTTCAACCGTCGACTATTGGTGATGGATTACGCACAGAATCCACCACCACTACTCGACAGAGGTGATTTTCGTTTTGCTTACCTTGACATGGTGGGAAGCCATCGGCGGCACCAGCTCTGGGGAATATCCGTTCTATTCGGAAGTCGAACAAACCCTGATGATTTTCGAAACATCTTGATCCTATCTGAAAGCCGGAATGCGTGCAAACGTACACCTGCCTTCTGTGGTCAGTGCATCTTCATGAGTAATTGACGGCGAGATCCTAATGATCACACCTAACACCCCTAGCAAACCATTACTCTAGTCGAATTTTGTAGAATGCATCCTTTTGGAACATCACATTAGCTCGGCCAGTAGGTCGCACTGGCGAAGTTAGGGAAAGTGAGGAATGTAAGCACGCGCAAATGGTTTGCCCTAGTTGATAACAGCTGTTTCTGCCGAAAAAACTTCAAATTCAGATTCTCACTCAACTTGTGATGCAGAAAATGGGCGCTGAGATGAACGAAATACATAACATTGAAACCACATTCGGTGATCCAAAGTTCATGGAACAGTTCGAAGCGATGGCAAAGAGAGTGAGTTTAACAAAGTTATAGTATTGGGTAAGAATCTTCTGATTGAATACTATAATAGAGTATACCTTTACTGAGTACTGTAATCGCTCACAGTTCTTAGATCAGACTTGAAGTTAGAGAGTTAGGGTTCTAGAGTAGGGACAAGGATCATGACTAAGAAGACAAACCCCCCCCCCACCTTCTTGCCGATTCACTTCTTTGGCGCTACGCGGCGGCTTTGAGGCACAGCCATGGCTCCAGAGGCTGAAGGCACCCTGCCTATGCCGGCAATAGGTGCAAGCCCCCCCCCGCCCCCAGTACAGGCATCTTCGGACGCTCTGCTGGCCAAAGTGACATTCGGAAAAAGGCTGCTAACTGGTGGCTAGGACGGCGCATAGCGCGCCGTTCTGCGTGATAATACACTAGTGTACTATCGGATTGAGCGCTGCATTGTGAACGGGCACGCCGTAGCCCTTCTGCCAGGAACGCCGGTATACCTTTACCCAGCATTTCCCATCAGAGCTTGCTCTTCTTGAGTCTGAAGGCCCATTCGGCAGTGTGTCATCAAAGGAGCTGGCAGCTCATGTATAGAAGAAGAATATCCACGACTTCTAGTGCTTGGTCAGTCCACACTTTGGCAGGAACGAGGAAGACCATAAACTGTCCGCGAGAAGTTTACTATGACTTCAGTTCATGAGCCCCTGCATATTATTTTTGTGCCAGCCTCCTACTGCGTATGGATGTTTGATTTTCTCCAAGCAAACCTCTGAATGCGTTGGATAAACAAATGAATATTCATTCACCCACTACATATAAATTTACGTCTGCCTGTTTATTTATTTATTTATTTTGTTTGTTTGTTTGTCTTCGGTTCGACCTGAAGGACAACTTGGAGGGGTTGGGTCAAGATGGGGATGGATAGGGCATCCTATGCGAAGTCCCGCCCAGAGTGGGCGGGGCGTGCGCCGAAACTTAGCGACGCCGCAGAGAAAAGCTCATTACTCGTACAGAGCAGCCCAGAGTTGGGGAAAAAGTGGAATAAGGTTAGCAAGGGGTTGCTAGACTAACTAGTAGGGGCAGAGCCGAAATGGGCGTACTCTAGACAGGCACCGTTCTCCAAAAAATTCATTGGCTCGGTTCCCGAGAGAAGTTAGAAATAGCAAAAAAGCCGATGTGTTAGTGCACATCTGGGGAGAGTTTAGCACGCCTGAGGTGTGTTGAGACCCGCCCACAGTGGGCGGAGCTTGCTCTCATTCATAGGGTGCCCATTTCAAAAATTTGTAGCTTGGTTCCAGAGCATTCCAACACCGGAAAAAAAGTAGATCAAGGTCAGCAAAGGGTTGCTGGTCAGGAAAGTGGGCACACATGTTGTGAGGCGAGGACTGCTCTAAAGTGGGCGGGATAAGACAAACTCTGTTAAACGGACCCAGAGCACTCCAGGTTACTCAAAATATCAATAGTGATTAGGAGGGATCAGAGATCAAAGCGGGAATCCGTTGAAGCCAGAGCGTGCAGCAAGGTGAGCGGAGCCAAAGTTGAGATTTTGTAAATATTAGGTTGGTCGAAAAGTCCTGCGACACTTTGACCAATTTTTCGGACTAAATTTTCAGTCACTAAAAGACATCTCCAATCTACAAGGTAATCACCACTAAGGACTAGGACTAGTGCCCTTCTTTTGCACAGCTTCTCATTTCCATTCTTATAGAACTACGGCAACTATGATAAGAAGAAGAGGTGGACCTCA